AGAATTCCAAATCTCCTTACTATAATGGCTTCTCTTCTGTGTTAGTCACTATTGCAGCCACTTTATATTCATTATATTCCTTTCAAATCACAAGTACTATTTGGTAGATGAATAAAAGGAGTCTCTGTGAGGTTTAGCAACTTGCCCAGCCAAGACCACACAGCTAGTACACGACATTGTGAACTTGGTCAGCTCAGTACTGTCTGTTTGTTTGTTGGCCATGCTCTCTTCCACATTGCCTGCTTTTTGTCATCTTCTTAAAGACGTTTCTCAGAATTACAACAGTTGCAACAAGAATAGTCTCCTTGTTGCCTCAAACCAGCATTATTATATAATGCTCTAACAAGCATTTGTTAAAGTCATTGTGCAATGTGACCATATCTGTAGTGGTGTGTGTGTGTGTGTGTGCATGTATGTGTATTTTCCTCAAAGCCACAGCTGGCCGCTCTCCCCTCTACCTGTTTCCCCATGTCACAGATAGCCACTGCTCCCTCACTATCTCCTTTTGCTGGTCTGGCAGAGACCCATCTACTTGCTGACCCTCCTCAGGCCTGAGAAGACTTCCTGCTATGTTTGGTGAGTAAAGATGAATAGTAAGAAGTTGGTTTTTCCCGTCCTCCTAAAAGCAGAAGTGATTCTCACCAGATGTCCAGCTTTGTCATGGGTCAGAATGTAGGGTCTTAATTTGTTGGGTTTTTTTTGTAACGATGAGGTAACACAAGAGGGTGGTATTGATTATAGAATGGTTATTTAACTCATATGTTCAGTTCTTTACAGAACCTCAGTTAAGTGAAAAGTGTTAGGAATAGGGAATCCTGGCTGCCTGAAGTCTTTGGTTAACCAGACACCCTCTTTTTGTATCCACCCTTGTTTATATTGAAAAGTAGAGGGAAGGAATAAAATGGAGTCACTATAGTCAAGCTGCTAAATTGCTGAAATCAAGTAGGTTGAGGCATGAGGAAATGAGTCCATTCTTGTTTGTTTTTTTTATCCTCACTAGAGGACATTTTTCCATTTTTTGTTCAGATAGAGTGGGAGGGAGAGAGAGGAAGAGACAGAGAGAGAGAGAGAAACATCAACGTGAAAGGGACACATCGAGTGGCTGCCACCCTCACGACCAACCAGGGCCGGGGACAAACTGAACAGAGGTACACGCCCTTAGCAGGAACCGAACCCGGGTCTCTCTGGACCGCAGGCCGACACTCTAACAGCTGAGCCAAACCGGCCAGTGCTCCATTCTTGTTTTAACTAGCCTGGGAACTTGGAACTTTTCTTTCTCCTTCAGAACACTTTTGGATTTTTCTAAACTCTAAGACCCTTGAATAAATCTTTATCAATTTTTTTCTAGCCAAAGCCCCTAGACTCCTTTTGAGTTCATTTGACAATATCATTCTAAAATTATTCTAGGGGTAAATGCTGTGCTCACCTTCTTCCACAACCATATCACAATTACAACTAAACTACAGAACAACCATCATTCAGAACTGCCTGAAATATGGCTGAATGGAAGTCCTACAACTAGGGCATTAAAGAAGAAGCCACATCGGGACTGGTAGGAAGGGTAGAGATATGGAACAGGCTGGTCTGACACCCATCTGTGTCAGATAAAAATTGGGAGGGATATCTTAGCTTCAGAGGTCCCCCTAAGGAGCAAGGGGTACCACAGCAACTTTCTTCCAGACAGAAGTGCTGGCAGAGGCCACTGTTTCTTTGATGACCCCTCCCCACACAGAGCTGGCAGGCAGGCGCCATACCTGAGACTCCATCACCTGGTTAACACTGTTAGCCTTGCCCTGGTGATTCCTTGGAACCCTGCCCCACCCAGCTTTTGAACCCACCCAAGCTGTTTCCAGTGGCTTTTCCACACAAATGGCCTATCTTGGATCATACTTCAGATTCTCCTAAAATCTCTCAAACAAGCAGCAACTGGCCTGAGTGTGCCTCTCACTAAGTGGCCCCAGGCCTAGCATAGCAGCAGCCAGCCTTAGTTCGTAGCTTGGCCTCATTTGGGCACCTCCCAGCCCAGCACAAATAGCAGCCATCTAAAGATCGATTTGTAGCTTATGCTGGGTGGCCCCGGGAAGAACACAGGCCGTGGCTGACCTGGGCCTGCATCCCCCAGGAGGCCCCAGAGCCAGCACACTCAGTGGACAGCTTCAGACCACATTGAAGCATCACTACCCAACCACCTCCACAAGCAACACACTCAAGGGGCTGACTCAGCTGGCACCAGACCCCCACTGAAGTAAGTCCTGCTCTGGTGTAGGGGTTGGGCCCTTGCAAAGCTAATCCTCCATAGTAGTCAGAGGTCAGTGATCAGTGGTCATATCCAATCCTTGCAGCTGATTGGCCTGGGGGTAAATTCCTTCCAATGATGTGTCAATAGCAATCAAGGCTCAACTATAAGAGGAGGGTGAACACAGCCCTCACAAGGGGCACACCTTCAATGCCCAGCATGGGTGATCAGGGAGGCTGTGTCACTGGATTCTACAGAACACCTACTACATTAGGCCACTCTACGAAGCCTGGGAGAAATAGTAGCTCTACCAAATACATAGAAACAAACACAGGGAGGCTACCAAAATTAGGAGACAAAGAAACATGTCTCAAATGAAAGAACAGAACAAAAAGTCAGAAAAAGAACTAAATGAAATGGAGACAAGCAATCTACTAGATGCAGAGTTCAAAACATTGGTTATAAGGATGCTCAATGAACTTAGTGAGAACCTCAACAGCATAAAAAGAACATGGAAACCATAAAAAAGAACAGTCAGAAATGAAGGATACACTAACTGAAATAAAGAATAATTCACAGGGAATCAACAGTAGAGTAGATGAAACCAAGAATCAAATCAGTGATTCGGTAATATCAGGAAGCAAAAAAGCACCCAATCAGAACAGCAAAAATAAAAAAAGAATTTAAAAAAATGAGGATAGTATAAGGAGTCTCTTGGACAACTTCAAGTATACCAACATTTGCATCATGAGGGTTCTGGAAAGTAAAGAGAGAAAGCAAGAAATTGAAAACCTATTTTAAAAAATAATGACAGAAAACTTCCTTAACTTGGTGAAGGAAATAGATATACAAGTCCAGGAAGCACAGAGAGCCCCAAATAAGATGAACCCAAAGAGGCCCACACCAAGACACATCATAATTAAAAAGCAAAAGGTTAAAGACAAAGAGAGAATGTGAAAAGTAGCAAGAGAAAAGCAGTTAGTTGCCTACAAGGGAGCTCCCATACGACTGCCAGCTGATTTCTCAGTAGAAACTTTGCTGGTCAGAAGGGATTGGTAAGAAATATTCAAAGTGATGAAAAGCAAGAACCTACAACCAAGCAAAGCTATCATTTAAATTTTTTTTACTCTCACCTGGGGACATTTTTCCTTTTTTTTTTTTTGTTCAGATAGAGGGGGAGGGGGGGACATCGACATGAAAGGTACACATCTAGTGGTTGCCTCCTGCATGACTCAACCAGGGCCAGGGACAAACTGCAACTGAGATACATGCCCTTAGCGGGAACCAAACCTGGGTCTCTTTGGACCACAGGCTGATGCTGTAACTGCTGAGCCAAACCAGCCAAGGTGCAAAACTATCATTTATAGTTGAAGCATAAGTAAAGAGCTTCCCAGACAAGAAAAAGCTAAAAGAGTTCATCACCACCAAACCAGTATTATATGAAATGTTAAAGGGTCTTCCTCACCCAAGGATATTTTTCCATTTTTTGTACAGATAGAGTGGGAGGGAGAGAGAGGAAGGGAGAGTGAGAGAGAAACATCGACGTGAAGGGACACATCGAGTGGCTGCCACCCGCACGACCAACCAGGGCCGGGGACAAACTGCAACCGAGGTACGTGCCCTTAGCGGGAACCGAACCCGGCTCTCTCCAGACCGCAGGCTGACGCTCTAACCGCTGAGCAAAACTGGCCAGGGCTAAAGGGTCTTCTTGAATAAGAAGGAGAAGGAGAAGGAAGAGGAGGAGGAGGAGGAGGAGGAGGAGGAGGAGGAGGAGGAGGAGGAGGAGGAGGAGGAGGAGAGATAAAAAATATGAACAACAAAAAGAGCAATAGATACATATTTATCAACAACTGAATCTAAAAAACTAAAAGAACAAGCAGAACAGAAACAGACTCATAGACACAGAGAATATTTTGATGGTTACCAGATGGGAGGAAGTTTGGAGGGATGGGTGAAAAAGATGAAAGGATTAAGAGGTACAAATTGGTTATTACAGAATAGTTATGGGGATATAAAGGACAGCATAGGGAATATAATCAATAATATTCTAGTAACTATGTAGGTGTCAGATGGATGCAAAATTTATTGGGATGATCACTTGGTAAGTTATGTAATGTCTAATCACTATGTTGTACATCAGAAAATAAAATAATGTATGTAACTATAATTGAACAATATAAATGATTTAAACATGAAAAAAATTATTCTAAATGCCCTGTAGAAAGTTGATTTGTAATTAGTCCTGCAGGATCTCAGTGTTATTTATTATTCTAGAATCTAGAATTAGAGCATGTAATATTAAATATTGGTCAGAATGTAGGGAAACAAAATTCAGTTTCCCCCAAGTGTAGCTATATAGGTATCAACTGCTAAACTTTTCTTGAAAGTTGATTAAAAAAAATCTTGGATCTAAGCTTATCTTATTTGGAAGTATCTCATCCAGCTAAGATAATGCTCCAAAATTGCTTGATAGTGGTAGTTGCAATTACTTTGGAAATATTAAGTATGGTAATAATAGAAAACAGGCAAAGTTCAATAACTTTCCACTCTGGTGACAATTTCACATTTGAGCTACCAACCCTTAAGATAAATTTGAACTTAGAAAAAATTTTCTTCACACTGAAATAGTCATAAGCAGCTTGCTCATATGAATTAAAAAATGTGATTACCTTTTTAGTCTGTAGCCCATAAAAACGTGCTGAGTCATACATATGCTTTGCACAGTGACGATGGAAAGGGAAATTCACATGTAGGAGTAATTTCAGGAAGGTCCAACAGATGGCACAATACCGTTTCTATGGTATTGTTTTACTTAAGCTAAGGACTTGGACTTCGTCAAACACTTATTTTTTCCGCATTTAGAAGCTATTTTCTCTTCTTCTGAGAAAGAAATCTTGGTAAGTAAGCAGGATTTTGTGGCTTTTTCAAATTATGGCATAATTACTTTAAACAAACAAGAAAATAATAACTATTGTAATGAAAATAGGTAACATTTTAAGTGTTTGTTTGTTTTTTAATGTTGCAAACGTCCTTTTATATATACAAGAAAGACAGGAAGTGACTATCTTGAAAAGGTACAAAAATAACTAGCACTTGTAGTCATAGTTAAGGGAAAAACTAACTGAAGATATTTATTTCTTCTGATTTTGCCTACTACATTTTCTTTTTATTTTTCCTCTAGTTCCTTGTTTTCAGCAACATTTACTGTAATGTATGCCACTGATTTGGCATCAGTCACATATTATGTATCTTTATAATAGACATAAGTGTTTTATGTCCCCTGTCTCATGGTTCTATAATTGCTTATCTGTATCTATCACTAATTTATAAATATGTGGAAAGCAGGGATTAGCCTGTGCTATTCACATTTCTGTCCCCAGCACCTAATGCCCGGCAAAGTCCTGGCACGTAAGTATATTCTAAATAAATAGCTTTTAAATGAAAGAAGTGCCAAGGACTGAACTAGGACTTGCCGTTCTCTGGGTCTCTCACCTAAACTTTGACAAATAAAACAATGTTTCTCTTGCACACTTGTTGACTTGATTATGGAATCACACATACCTTAATGTTTTTCTTAGCTCCCCTTTCTTGTAGTTTTACTTTTCATAGATCTTATACACTATGGCGTTTTTCTTGAAATAGAGCTTCTTCCATCTGTCTTTTTTCCTCCCTCTTTTCATTCGATGCATTACAGAAAAAGAAAAAACAATTTTTTTCCTTTTATCTCTCTTTACTTCCATTAAAAGAAAAGTTGTGTACTCTCTAATCATCCAGTCAGATGAGATGACCCCTTTTCTTCTCCTTTATTTTTTCTTAAATACAAAAGCTCCTGGCTGGTTTGTTAGGTGTGTACACTGGGACCTGCTTGAGGGTATAAATGCACCGAAGGAATACTATGTTTTGGGGGCAGGGTGCTGTAAGGGTAGCTGATCAACTTCTCCACATGGTGGCTAAGTTTTAGTCCCCTGAACACAGACACCACAGGGGGACCTCTAGGTAGGTTCTCATTCATAAATGTCAATTATTTAGCATCATGTGGGGGAAGTCTTTCTATATACAAACAATATAAGCATGTTTCTTTAAATATAAAATATTTTTACATTAGTTGTATTTTAGAACAATTTTTGACTTATAAAATATGTTCAAAATTAGAAAATTTGGAAATACATAAAAGCATAAGAAAGAAAATTAACTTTATCTTTGATTCAGAGATTCAGAAATAACTACTGTTAGCATTTGATATATTGCTTCCCATTCTTTTTTCCCTTAGGCTTTGCGTATATGTCAGGTTTTAATCATATTTCACAAAAGTAGAGTCCTACCACATATAACATTTTGTATTGTTTTATTCATGTAACATTATATTGTAGACATTATTTTTTTAACCAAAAGTGCAGTATTTGACACTTCATGCTATTCTATGTTATGGGTGTGCCATATTGATTAAACCATTTTCTATACTAGACATTATAATTTTTTTCAACTTTTTTCATTATGTCATGAGCATCCTCATAGTAATGTTTTTATGTATATCTCTGATAATTCCTTTAGAAGAAAAATTCTGAGAACTGAAATTGCTAAAATAAGGATGGATACACACACACACACACACACACACACACACACACACACATAAATGCCCCCGAAGGAATACTATGTTTTGGGGGCAGGATGCTATAAGGGTAGCTGATCAACTTTTCCACATGATGGCTAAGTTGATCAGCTTATAATTTGTACACACACACACACATATGTGTGTGTAAATATATATATATTTTTTAATCCCCATATGAGGAAATGTTCACCGATTAAAAAAATTTTTTTTTCTTTATTGATTTTAGAGAGAGAGGAAGGGAGAGGGAGAGAGAGATAGAAACATCAACGAGAGAGAACATCAACTGGCTGCCTCCTGCATGCTCCCCACTGGGGATTGGGCCCACAACCTGGGCATGTGTCCTGACCGGGAATCGAACCAGTGACCTCTTGGTGCATGGGTGGACACTCAACCACTGAGCCACACCAGCTGGGCTGGGCTGTTCAATGATTTTTTAGAGGGGTGGGGACACACACACACACACACACACACACACACACACACTGTTTACCTGCTGCATGGGGTCGAGATCGAACCTGAAAGCTAGGTATGTGCCCTGACCAGGAATCCAACCTTCTACCTTTTGGTGTAAGGGATGACATTCCAACCAAATTGCACTTCAGAAAGTTTGTACTAATTTTTCATTTCTGCTAATAACTGGTTAATGAGAGTTCTTATTTCTATCTCCCTATTCCACTTATAAGAACTCTTATGATGCCTGGCTGGTGTTGCTTAGTGGATTGAGCTTCATCCCATGGACTGAGAGGTCCTAGTTTGATTCCCAGTCAGGGCACATGCCTGGGTTGTGGGCTCGATCCCCAGTAGGGCGTGTGCAGGAGGTCGCTAATCGATGTTTCTCTCTCTCACATCGATGTTTCTATCTCTCCTTCCTTTCCTCTCTAAAAAAAAATCAATAAAAACATTTTTAAAAAATTAAAAAAGAACTCTTGTGATTACTTTGGGCCCACCCAAATAATCCAGGGTATTTTTTCTATTTTAAGATCAGCTGATTAGCAACCTTAACTCCAGCTGGAATGCTAGTTTCCTTTTTTCATGTAACAGCATATTCACAAGTTTGGGAATTAGGAAATGTCCAATCTGCTTGTGAATTTCAGAGACTACTCTTGCTTTCATTTCCCTAAGAACTTCCCTTCTCGCTTTCACATGTGTGTGTACTTTTTTCATCATTTTGGGGATGTAGGTAAGAGGTGGAGGCTGGAGCATGTGTACACTCTCATAATTCTAATTAAAAATGTGATCTTCTTGATCCAGAAAATATTTAGAACTTTTAAAAAAGTGGTTTAAAAAGTTTATTTTGTAGTGAGAAATGTGACTTTAACAATATTTGCTTTGGGATTTTTATTTAATAAATGTATTTGACCTAAGAAACAATTAATTTTAGTAAATGCTCCATTAACATTGGGGATTTAGATATACAGTGTTCTCTTTTAGTAGGTCCAAAGTTTATAAGTCTCTATTAAACCTTTACTATTTTATTCAAATCTTCCATATATATATATATATATTTTGCTACTTGATCTAACTATACCCACAGAAATACATTAAATACTTTCACTATCAGTATCTCTATGTGTTTTTAGCATTTTTACTTTGTAAACTTTGATGCAATATTATTCATTACATAAGTGTTCTTATCTGTTATATGTTTTTATTGTGAGCGATTTGTTTTAAGTAGTATAAAGTAGTAGTTTCTCCTACCCTATTGCCCAATTCTCTGATATTTTGACCTACTCTAGTTTTATACATACAAACTGTAATTTCTAATGAATACAGACTGGTGTTCTTATCTTCGCCCCCTTTTACAAGTATTGTTGCATGGCTTACACATCTTAGAATGTGATGTGTTCCCTCATGTTCCTCCCTACCTTTTGTCCAGTTCTTTTTCTTCCAGCTTTATTGAGATATAATTGACATATAAAATTCTGTAAGTTTAAGGTCTACAATGTTATAATTTGGTAACATATATATTGCAAAATGATTACCACAATAAGGTTAGTTGACACATCCATCACCTTAATTACCTTTTTTTGTGGTGAGAATATTTAAGATTTACTCTTTTAGCCACTCTCAAGTATATAACACAGTATTGTTAACTATAGTCACTGGGCTGCACATGAGTACCCCAGAACTTTTTTGTCTTATATCTAGAAGATTGTACTCTTTGACCAACATCTCTCCCTTTCCCGATCACCCAGCCCCTGGCAACTACCTTTCTGTTCTCTGTTTCTATGAGTTTGGCTCTTATAGATTGCACATATAAGTGAGATCATGCAGTATTTGTCTTTCTCTGACTTAATTTCACTTGCATAATGCCGTCAAGGTCCATCCATGTTGTCACAAGTGGCAGGATTTCCTTCTTTTTATAGCTGACTAATATTCCATTATATACATCACATTTTCTTTACTCATTCATCTGTCAAGGGACACTTAGGTTGTTCCCATGTCTTATTGTGAATAATGTGGCAGTGAACATGGAGATACTCTATCTTTGACATAGTGATTTTATTTCCTTTAGATATATATCCAGAAGTGGAATTGCTGGGTCATATGGAAGTTCTAATTTTAATTTTTGTTTTTTAAATCAGGAAACTCTTTACTGTTTACAATAGTGGCTGCACCAGTTTACATTCCCACCAAGATTGCTAAAAGGGTCCCTTCTCTCCACATCCTCGCCACCACAACAATTTTCTAATAGGTATGAGCTGATATTTCATTGTGAGTTTAATTTGTATTTCCCTGATGGTTAGTGATATTGAGCATCTTTTCATGTACTTGTTGGAGGCAATTTGTATGGTTTCCTGCCCATTAGGTCTTCTGCCCATTATTAAATCAAATTATTTGTTTTTATTTTTACTTTTTTGCTATTGGGTTATATGTGTTCCTTATATATTTTGGACATTAACCTCTTATCTGATAATGTGATTCATAAACATTTTCTCCCAATATGTAGGTTGATTTTCATTTTGTTGATTGTTTCTTTTGTTGTGCAAAAGTCTTTTAGTTGATATAGTCTCACTTTTTAATTTTTGTTTTTGTTGCTTCTGTTTTTTGGTGTTAGATCCAAAAAATTATTGCCATGACCAACCAATGTCAGGTTTTCGTAGAAAAGAACCTGATATTGTGTTTTCTTCTAGTAGTTTTATTGTTTTAGTTCTTATAGATAGGTTTTTAGTCCATTTGGACTAAATTTTTGTGAGTGGGGTAAGATAGGGGACAAATTTCATTCTTTTGCATGTACATATACAGTTTTCCTGACACCATTTATTGAAGAGACTACCTTTTCCCCATTGAGTATTTTTGACTCCCTTGTCAAATATTAGTTGACAGTTTATTTGTGGGTTTATTTCTGGGCTCTTCATTCTGTTCCATTAATCTATGTGTCTGTTTATATGTGACCATTATACTGTTTTGATTACTATAGCTTTGTAATATAGTTTGAAATCAGAAAGTGTGATACCTCTAGCTTTGTTCTGTCTCAGAATTGCTTGGCTCTTTGGGGTCTTTTGTGGTTTTATACAAATTTTAGAATTTTTTTCTGTTTCTATGAAGAATATCATTGAAATTTTGAAAGCTATCACCTTGAATCTATAGATGGCTTTGGGTAGTAGACATTTCAACAATATTGTTTCTTCTGATCCATGAACACAGGATGTCTTTTCATTCATTTGTATCTTCAGTTTTTTTCATCAGTGTCTTATATTTTCAGTGTATAGGTTTTTCACCTCCTTGGTTAAATTTATTCAGAGGTATTTTATTCTTTTTAATGCAATTGTGAATGGAATTGTTTTGTTTATTTATTTTCCAGGGAGTTTGTTGTTATTGTATGGAAACACAACTGATTCTGTATGTTGTTTTTATATGCTGCAACTTTATTGAATTTGTTTATTATTTCTAACTTTTTTTTTGGTGGTATTTAGGATTCTCTCTATATAAGGTCATATTATCTGCAAACAGAGATAATTTTACTTCTTCCATCCCAATTTGGGTACTTTTTGTTTCTTTTTATTGCCTAATTTCTCTGGCTAGGACTTCCAGTATACTATATTGAATAGAAGTAGTAAGAGTACTTCTTGCCCAGCTTTTACCTGAGAGTATCCATCATTTGTGATGAAGGGTTGGAGGATGGTGACTGGTAGAGGGAAAACTCAGTGTTGTGATCCACTCACATTAGTATCATTGGGATAAAAGAAACACTACTTAATTACTTGGCTATTCTTCATCCTTGGTATTTGAATCAGAGACAAACACAGAGGGATAAAATCTGTTCATACCTTTTGTCAGGGAGTCTATTTTCCTGAGCTTGACTGGATTTTCCTTAATGCAACTCAATTACTTTTTCATGAACATAGATTCTTTTTGATCCTGCCATTAATTTTTCATCTTTTTTAGTTTTAGGTGGCAAGGTAGGTTTTCAAGTGTTTCTGTGTTTTCATGGGTGTTTTGGTGGCCAATTGGGAGAAGGCTGTGTGGGAGGACCAGTGAGAGACTTTTAACCATATGCCATTTTTTAAAAATTGAAGTATAATTACCTTTTTTTTTTAAAAAAAAGTCAGTTTTGTGGGCAGAGAACCTGAATAGACATTTCTTCAAAGAGAACAGAGGGCCAATAGGCATATGAAAAGATGCTCAACATCACTAATAATCAGATAAATGTAAATTCGAATCACAATGAGACATCACCTCACACCTGTCAGAATGACCATCATCAATAAACCAACAAATTGCCCGGCCAGTGTGGCTCAGTGAATTGAGTGTCATCCCGTAGATTGAGTGGTCCCATTTTGATTCCCAGTCAGGGCATACGCTTGGGTTTTGGGCTTGATCCCCAGTTGGGGGAGCGTGCAGGAGGCAGCAGATAAATGTTTCTCTCTCACAGCGATGTTTCTCTCTCTCTCTCTCTCTCCCTAAAAAAATCAATGAAAACATATTTAAAAAAATAAATCAACAGCCCTGGCCGGTTTTGCTCAGTGGTTAGAGCATCGGCCTGCGGTCCTGAGAGACCAGGGTTCGGTTCCCGCTAAGGGCACATACCTCGGTTGCAGTTTGTCCCCGGCCCTGGTCGGTTGTGCGGGTGGCAGCCACTCGATGTGTTCCTTTCACATCGATGTTTCTCTCTCTTTCTCTGTTCCTCTCTCCCTCCCACTCTACCTGAACAAAAAATGGAAAAATGTCCTCTGGTGAGGATTCAATAAATAAATAAATAAATAAATAAATAAATAAATAAATAAATCAACAAATATCAAGTGTTGTCAAGGATGTGGAGAAAAGGAACACTTGTGCACTATCGATGGGAATGCAGACTGGTGCAGCCACTGTGGAAAACAAGTTTCCTCAAAAAGTTAAAAATGGAACTGCTTTATGACCCAGCATTTCCACCTCCGGTGTATATCTGAAGAAACTAAAAACACGAATTCAAATAATATATGCACCCCTATGTTTATTGCAGTGTTGTTTACATAGCCAAAATATGGAAACAGCCCAAGTGCCTATCAAAAGATGAGTGGATAAAATGGAATGTTACTTGGCCATAAGAAGAATGAAATCATACCATTTGTAACAGCATGGATGGACCTAGAAGGTATTATGCTAAGTGAAATAATTCAGTTACATAAAGAAAAACACCATATGATCTTACTTATATGTGGAATCTAAAGAACAAAGTAAATGAACAAACAAGATCAAAACAGACTCATAGGAACAGAGAACAGATTGATGGATGCCAGAGGGAAGGGAGTTTCGGGGACTGGGTGAAAAAGGTAAAGGGATTAAGAAAAAAAAAGATTTTGATCAACAACAGAAAAGAAAAGAAGGTTCACTTATAATTATAGTTCCACTACATTATAAACTCCCTGAGATTAGGGATATAGTCTGTCACCAATGCCTAGAGCAGTACTCAGCACATAGTGGGCACTCAATACATATTTGTTTTATTTATACACATTTAAATAATTTTATAATGAAAATAATTTAAAAGAAAAAAATATGCCATTTTGTAATGAAATGTTCCCAATTTGGAAGAGTATTTACTCTTCCAAAGAATGATTAATTGAAACCCTGCTCAGCTCTTAACTATTTTACTATTTCCAATATACTCTCAGGTGATAAAGTGGATGTTTTCGTTAATAAAACTGACCAGTCAAAATCTGCTCCCGGGCACTCTTGCTACACAAGCCCCAACTTAGAAATGTTGTTGCACTTGTTCCCTTGGGGCCCCTAAGTACTTTTTTGTGTGCAGATAAGATCCTAAATGGGGTCCAGCAAGCCCCACAGTTCAACCCTTTATCCTGCTCACAAATATGGGGTCTGTGAGCTAGTGCACCTGCCTCTACCCCTCAGCCAATAATCTTCTCACTCACAGGAGTATCAGTGTCTATACTATGTTGTAGTACAGTGAGATTTTTCTGGGCTGTAGGTAAACTGTTATCTCTTACATACAGCAGCTTTAGTCTGACGATCCTTCTGAATTCTTCAATGTACCTATTAATATTTATCTATCTTTTTCTGTTTTATCAGTGTGCGGACTGTAAGGACTTGAAGTTTAAAGATTATCAGGTGCTGAATCCTGTCTCTCTGAATATGTTGCTTCTTGTCTAATGTGAGCTGGAAAAACACATATCCATTTTCATGGGAATTGTGTCAAAAATGAGATCCTGTGACTAAAAAAGTTCCTGCAACCAGAAAAAACAGAGTATATGTATTATCTCCATGCCCCTCGCCAGCCTGTGAGAACACTTCTAACTTCTGCCTGTGGATGGTTCCAGGCAGGTGTGATTGTGGGCACTCCAGCGTAGCACAGAATGCTGCCCTGTGGCCATCACAGCAACCATTGCCGCTCACAGGATGCCCCTGTGGGAGTTAGGCAGCATTATGACTCTGATGGTGCATAAAAAATAATTGAGAATTTGTATTTAGTAAGTAGTTTGAGAGCCATTACCCAATAGATTTTTATTGATTTTTAGAGAGAGAGGGAGAAAGAGATAGAAACATTAATAAGAGAGAACATCGATTGGCCACTTCCTATATGCCCCCCACTGGAGATCAGGCCCACAACCTGGGCATGTGCCCTGACCAGGAATTGAACCGGTGACCTCTTGGTCCATGGGTCGATGCTCAACCACTGAGCCACACCAGCTAGACAATCATCCAATATTTATTAACCTTAATGTATCTTATATTTCTAGAGTTTGGATGCATATCAGGATGCTCTGAAGAACAGCAATATCCCTTTGGGAGACAGGTCCTTCAACATCATGACCAAGGACAAAGAACCCATTGTCAGAAGCTTTCATTTTGTTTACATCATAACCTTGATGTTTGGAACCATAATCCAGTTCTCCGATGAAAGTGAATTTACAGTAAACAAGTCAAATAAAGGCCTTACTCATGTTCCAAAAGGCCTGCCACCACAAACCAAAGTCTTAGATATGTCTCAGAACTGCATATCTGAGCTTCACCTCTCTGACATCAGCCTTCTTTCAGGGCTAAAAGTTCTGAGGCTTTCCCATAATAGACTCCAGTACCTTGATGTTAGTGTTTTCAAGTTCAACCAGGATTTGGAATATTTGGATTTATCACATAATCAGTTGCAGAAGATGTCCTGCCATCTTATCACCAGTCTCAAGCATTTAGACCTCTCATTCAATGACTTTGATGCCCTGCCCATCTGTAAGGAATTTGGCAACTTGACTCAGTTGAATTTCTTGGGGTTAAGTGCTAAAACTGTACATCAGTTGGATCTGCTACCAATTGCTCACTTGCATCTAAGTTGCATCCTTCTGGAATTGGAGCATTATTATATAAAAGAACATGAGACAGGAAGTCTTCAAATTCTGAATACAGAAACACTTCACCTTGTTTTTCATCAAAATAATTACTTCTCTGTTGAAGCAAACATATCAGTTAATAGTTTAGGGTGCTTACAACTGAGTAATGTTAAATTGGATAATACGAACTGTCACATTTTAATTAAATTTTTATCAGAACTAACTAGAGGTCCAAACTTACTGAATCTTACTCTAAACCATGTGGAAACAACTTGGAAATGTTTGGTTAGAGTTTTTCAATTCCTTTGGCCTAAACCTATAGAATATCTCAATATTTACAATATAACACTAGTTGAAAGCATTGATGAAGAAGATATTACTTATTCTGAAACATCACTGAAAGCATTGAATATTGAACATGTTATAAATACAGTTTTTCTTTTTTCACAGACAATAGTATACACAGTGTTTTCTAAGATGAACATTATGAAGTTAACCATATCAGATACACCTTTAATACACATGCTTTGTCCTCAGGCAACAAGCACTTTTAAGTTTTTGAACTTTTCCCAGAATGTTTTCACAGATAATGTTTTTCAAAACTGCTCCACTTTAGTTAGATTGGAGACACTGATCTTACAAAAGAATAAATTAAAAGACCTCTTCAAAGTGGGTCTCATGACTAAAGATATGCCATCATTGGAAACACTGGATGTGAGCTGGAATTCTTTGGAATATGATAGACATGACAGAAATTGCACATGGGTTGGAAGTATAGTGGTGTTAAATTTGTCCTCAAACATACTCACTGACTCTGTTTTCAGATGTCTACCTCCCAGGGTCAAGGTTCTTGATCTTCACAATAATAGAATAACCACTATCCCTGAAAATGTCACCAGTCTGGAAGCTTTACAAGAACTCAATGTTGCTTCCAATTCTCTAGCCCACCTTCCTGGATGTGGTACCTTTAGCAGCCTCTCTGTACTGATCATTGACTATAATTCAATTTCCAACCCATCGGCTCATTTCTTCCAGAGCTGCCAGAAGATTAGGTCCATAAATGCAGGGAATAATCCATTCCAATGCACATGTGAGCTAAGAGAATTTATCCAAAGTATAGGCCAAGTATCAAGCGAAGTGGTAGAGGGTTGGCCTGACTCTTATAAGTGTGATTATCCAGGAAGCTATAAGGGAACCCTACTAAAGGACTTTCATGTGTCTCCATTATCGTGCAACACAGCTCTGCTGATAGTCACCATTGGGATCACTGGGCTGCTGCTGGCTGTTGCTGTGACTGTCCTCTGTATCTATTTTGATCTTCCCTGGTATCTCAGGATGATGTGTCAGTGGACCCAGACCCGGCATAGGGCCAGGAACATATCTTTAGACAAACTCCAAAGAACTCTTCAGTTCCATGCCTTTATTTCATATAGTGAGCATGATTCTGGCTGGGTGAAGAATGAACTGGTACCTTGCCTAGAAAAAGAAGGTATACGGATATGTCTCCATGAGAGAAACTTTGTTCCTGGCAAGAGCATTGTGGAAAATATCATAAACTGTATTGAGAAAAGTTACAAATCCATCTTTGTTTTGTCTCCCAACTTTGTTCAGAGTGAGTGGTGCCATTATGAACTCTACTTTGCCCACCACAATCTCTTTCATGAAGGATCTAATAACTTAATTCTGATCTTGCTGGAGCCCATTCCACAGAACTGCATTCCTAGCAAGTATCACAAGCTGAAGGCTCTCATGGCACAGAGGACTTATTTGGAATGGCCGAAGGAAAAGAGCAAACATGGACTTTTTTGGGCTAACATTAGAGCTGCTTTTAATATAAAATTAACCCTAAACACTGAAAACAATGATGTGAAAAATTTAAAAAGCCAGGAAATCCAATATAAGAACCCATCATAAACATTGGTGCTAATGAACACCATGGTATTAAGTTATTGTCTAGATGGTGCCTATATCATCTCTAAGTGCTCAAGAAAGACTTAACAACAGCCATGTTTCAATTGAGTTGGGGAAGCAGGCTAAGGGCTGAGGTGGTGCTCTCTCAAACCTGCCAATTATAATTACAGATAGCCCGTTCTCCTGTGGCTTGACCATTCTGTTGCAGGTCAAGACAGTCTCATTTGAGTAAATGCTCATTCAGGGATCTTTCTTCTCCCTTGGCCTTTCCCAGATGAATTCTCTGTGAGCAGGAGTTTGTGGGACTTCATGGCAGCAAGAAAAGAGTCAACCTCACATCTGCATGCAATGGTCTTGGACTGTCCTATGCATCCTCATTGGCCTCTGGGTGAGCTTTGTTATCCTGCTCAAATTTAGGATTTGGAAAAAATTAGACCAGTTATGGAAAATAAAGACATCTTTTTTTCTTCACGTCTGAATAATCATTTGTTAAATTTTTTACCTACCTACATAAATATGCAGTAATTTGTGTATATAAAGGGAACTATAGTCTTAGTTATGGGCTGCTGAGGCCAAAGACATGGATTTACCTGCTTGCAAAAAAAACTCAGAGCGAAATTTATTTGTAACTGGTTATTGTATAGGACATTTTGATACCTTATAATTTTGGAGAATTCCTCAAAGCTGACAAAAGGCACATTTTAAACAGAAATATTAGACATAGCCAGTCTGGACTTACTAAAAAAAAATAACAGAAAGAGACCAGTAATTAGCAACCCATGTTATCATTTACAGAAGACTAGATTCAAAAGGGAGTAATCAAGTAGAGGTTCTAGACCTGTGGGGAGATTGCTTTGGATTTCTTTCAAAGGCAAATGAGAGGGGCTATGAACATAGGAGAAGAGTAGTCTGGCAGCCCACTCAGCCTGAAGGCTTGCAGGGTAACAGAAAGGCACAGTCTCATACAGAAGGTGGTGTCATGTGGGAGCTCTTGGAAGAGCTTGATGAGTGTCCCCTGGAATTTTGGTGGTGGGGTGGGCAGTGAACATAGAGACTGGTTCATGCTTTACAAGTATAAGTGCATGACAAATATTGAATGAATGAACAAGTGCTTCCCACCTGGAGAATTTAGAAGGCAAGAAGTCGGCTTGGGCAGCCCAACACGGCAGGAAGATAAAAGAAAGGAAGATGTGGTTGAAATATGCCTGTTCATTTTTGGCATGGCAAATTTCCTCTGGGCCACGTTGACCATGGAAGGGTAGATGGGATGAAATTGTCATGATGGGACCTCAGCTAACTGGGCAGCCTGTTGTGTAAAGAGACTATAGTGGTAAGAGGGCATGGGGCTAGGGTGAAGAGATGTATGTGGAGGAGTTGCTGCTAGAGGTCAGCCAGAGAATGTGCCTCTTGCATCAAGTAACTGTGCAATGTGGGATCTGTTGGGACTTCTGGAGAATCCTCAGCTGCATCCTTTGAAAGAGTCAACATTTGGACTCTGCTATAACAAGAGGCAAAGGCGTGATGGCCTGTCTGCCTTATCCAATAGTTCAGGGAGATTTGCTCCTCTCTCATATACTTTTCCCTTGCAGTAGCCTGAGGACATCCAGAATATAGCGAAGGCAGAGAAGATGAAGGAAGAGTAAAAACACTCCTTTCTTACTTCCCAGCAAGAAAGGCCAGAGCTAGGGTCAAGCAGAATTTTGAATTAGGTGTGAGACTGATGTTAAATTCGACTGGCCTGGACATTTGAATGCCTGAAATAAGTGCTAAAATGAAAGTTGTCACTATAATCGATGGGGTCTGCCTAAAATTCAGACTAGATCCTGGCAGAGGGAGAGTCAGCAGAACCTGGTTATAAGGCAGAGGTTAACGAGAAAAGGAAAGCTCTTTCTTACAAACTTAACTCATTCAATAAACCAGTTTCATAATTAATACTTGTAAAGAAATAAACTCTAATGAAATTTTATTAGAGTCATCTTCTGTGCATTAGCCCTTCCTGCTCTTCGGAAGAGCATTGACTTTCCTTTAGCCTCTGTTAGACTGTTTTCTAGACTGAAACACAAAAACAAGCTAGGCTGGTGTGGCTCAGTGGTTGAGTGTCATCCCATGCACCAAGAGGTCTCCAGTTTGATTACTTTTTTTTTTTTTATCCTTACATGAGGATATTTTTCCATTTTTTGTTCAGGTAGAGTGGGAGGGAGAGAGAGAGAGAGAGAGAGACTTCAATGTGAAAGGGACACATCAAGTGGCTGCCACCCACACAACCAACCATGGCCGGGGACAAACTGTAACCGAGGTGGGTGCCCTTATCGAGAACCGAACACGGGCCTCTCGGGATCGCAGACCGATGCTCTAACCACTAAGCCAAACCGGCCAGGGCCAGTTTGATTCCTGATCATGGCACATGCCTGGGTTGTGGGCTCAATCCTTAGTAAGGGGTGTGCAAGAGGCAGCCAATCGATGTTTCTCTCTCTCTCTCCCTTCCTCTCTAAAAATCTATGAAAATATATTAAAAACAAAAACAAAAACAACAACAAAAATTAAAAACACACACCCCAAACATTAAATAACAATGTCACATAGTCTTAATAATCCGATATTTTAAATGGTTTCGATATGTTTGTCACCAAATATTGTTGACATTGAAAATAAAGAATTTTGACGTTTTTAACTAGAATTAAATAAAACCTACATTTTATCACATATGGAAACATCCACACATTTCAGACATATGAAAGCTTTATCATAAGAGGTTAGAGAAAGATTTTCTATCTTCAGGAATCCTCTGTTAAAGTCTTCCCGATACCAAGGGGTCTCACAGAACCCAAAGGCTGAGCTCTAAGGAAGTTTGGAAGCAGAAGCAGTAAACTGCCCAGACTTTCTCTGTCTTATCTCTCTACCCAGACTGATTAGCTGTGATGGGGGTAAGGATGCAGATCGAGGGGTTGCCTGCCTCATGACCACTATCCAGAAGGATGTTGTATTGGCCTGTTAGGGCTGCCATAACAAAATACCACAGTCCAGGTGGCTTAAACAACAGCAATTCATTTCTCACAGTTCTGAAGCCTGGAAGTTCAAGATCCTGGTGTCAGCAGGTTTGGTTTCTGCTGAAGCCTTTCTCATTGGCTCGTAGACAGCTGCCTGCTCACTGTGTCCACAGACGGCCTTTCTTCTGAGCACAGACATCCGTGTGTCTCTTTCTCTTCTTGTGTGAACACCATTCACATCGGATTAGGGCTCCACCCTTACAACTTCATTTAACCTTAATTAGCTCTGTCAAGTCCCTATCTCCAAATATAGCCATATTCTAAGGTACTGGGCTTCAACATATGAGTTTTGGAGAGGGCACAATTTGGTCCATCACAGATGACTATGCAGATAAATTTTAAAATGTTGTGACACAGATTTTTAGTTGTCATCACCATCCATTCTCCCTTTATTTAATAGGAGAATATGTAAACTTTATCAGGGCAATCTAGCTAGAGATTACATTTCTCAGCCTCCCTTGCTGCTTGATGTGGACGTGTGACTAAATTCTGGGCAATGAGATGTAGCTAGAAGCTAAGTGCCACTCTGGGTCACCTCTCTAAGAAAGATGGGTCATGTCTTTCCACTGGAAAAGAGGTAGCCCCCTCAAAAAAAAAATGAAGGAAGAAAAGAGGTAAGAATCGGAGCAAACATCTAGTACCTAGAGATGAAAGTCACATATTGATGACATGCTCTCATTCTGCCATTTTTTTTCTGCTCAAGTCAGCCTCTCACCATGCCCTGGACTGCTCCTCTCTCCTGTGAGAGAAAAGTAAATTTCCACCTTGTTCAAGCCACTATACTTTTGGATCCCATCAATATAACATTTTCATCTGCACCCTCATGAATATAGACATTTACAACACACAGGCAGTGGTACAGCCTTTGAATATTTCCTGATTGGGTATATGAGAGGAGAGTGGGCATGTTTCCCTCTGCAACCGGGAGCAGAGCATCTACCATCTTGACCAAGCCACCAGCATCTCTCACCTGTACGAGGGCAATAACTTCCCAACCACCCGCCTTGCTTTTACTCCTGCCTCACACATTCTCCAAATAGCAATAGGAGTGATTGTTTTTAAGGCTTACAACCTGCTTGCATTTAGAACAGAGGTCAAGCTCCTCACCGTGACCCACTGCCATGGTCTGCCTTCCTTCCCCTCTGCATCTCTTTCCTCTCTCCCCCTTGCCCACCACACTCCAGCCACAGTTGCCATCTGGCTGTTCCCTGAATGTGCTACCTTGATTCCCACCTCTGCCTTCTTTGTCCCTGGTACTTGCCACTGAGATTAACCTTCCCCAGGAGTGTGCTTAACTTGTTCCCGACCTGTGTGTCTCAGTTCAAACCTCACCTCCTCAGAGAGGCCTCCCCGTGATTTCCAGCCTAAGGGAGCATTCCCGGCAGTCACCCTTTGTCACATCGCTCCTCTTGGTTCTCTTAACAGCAGACATCACTCTCTGCAACGACCTTGTTTACTTGTTTTCTGTTTTCCCTCCACTAAAATATAAGCTCCAGGAGAACAAGAACTTTTCGTACCTTGGCCAGTGCAGAAAATGTCTTCGAAGCCCTCATTTTTATCTTAGAAACTCATACAAACAGAGCATCCCCTCCACTCATGTTTGTGCAGAGACTTCACAGGCCACAATCCACTGTCACAATTGGAAAAGTTTGCCTTAATACGTGTTCAGATATTAACACTTTGATGAGAATAAAAATTAAGTTCCCTAATAAGGTGACAGGTTAGAAGGAATGGGACATGGCAAGGATGACTAGGGAGGGCTGAATCCTGTTGAAAGGCCTCTGGGCAACCCTGGGCAGTGGGAGGATCCTGGGCCTGTGGCTGGGAAAGCCCTTCAAAGGGTGGGCACAGCGGGTGCAACGTTGGAAGTAAAAGGGACCACGAGCAAAGAAAGCATCAAATTGGTAGCCTTGCTGTGTGTTTGTTTTTCACAGCTTCTGTAACAAAATATCACAAATCGGGTGGCTTAAAACACCAGAAATTGATTGTCTCACAGCCCAGGAGGCTAGAAGCCCAAAAGCAAGGTGTCCAGAGGGTTGGCTCCTCCTGGAGGCTCTGAGGGAGAAACGTTCCATGCCTCTCCCAGTCTCTGGTGGTTGCCATCAACCTTGGCCTTGCTTGGCTTGTAGCTGAATCGCTCCAGTCTCTGCCTGTGTCTTCATGTGGCATTCTCCTCTGAGTCTCTGTGTCTTTTTTTCTGTCTCTTATAAGGACATTCCCATCAGATTTAGGGCCCTCTTTAATCCAGTATGATCTTGTCTTGATCCTTACTATCATTATATTTGCAAAAACCCTATTTTCAAATAAGATCACATTTTGCAGTTCCAAGTGAACATGAACATTTGGGGGGGGGGGTGAGGAAATGGGAATTATCCAACCCACTACTCTGGGGTTGGCATGG